GTCACATGCAGCTCCGTGGCCTATTCCGGTGAGGGCAGATCTCCTCTCTCAGGCTCGATCTGGCATCCCCATCCAGAGCGCTGGTCTCTGCACGCATGGTTGATCAACGGGTACTCGTTGCCCTGCCAGAAAGAGTGATGAACACGATCACGCAGTCTAGAGCTCCTTCCACGAGAAGGCTCTATGCTTCTAAATGGTCGGTGTTCTTCAAGTGGTGCACCGACAGAGTTCTGGACCTGCGGACGTGCGAGGTTGCGCATCTGCTCACTCTCCTACAAGAGCTGATGGATAAAGGGAGGTCCCCATCCACGCTCAAAGTTTATGTGGCGGCCGTGGCGGCGTTTGCAGAATTGACGCACGGCCAGTCACTGGGAAGACATGAGCTGGTCATCCGCTTCCTTAGGGGAGCTAGAAGGATGAATCCGTCGCGCCCCCCATCGGTTCCTATGTGGGATCTTTCCTTGGTCCTCGAGGCCCTGAAAGCCTTCCCATTTGAGCCACTAGACTCCGTGGAGTTAAAATACCTATCACTAAAAACCGTTTTTCTGACCGCGCTGTCATCAGTCAAACGTGTGGGGGACCTGCACGCGCTGTCAATCAGCGCGACGTGTCTTGAGTTCGGGCCGAATGACTCTAAAGTCATCCTCAAACCTAGACATGGCTATGTTCCAAAAGTGATGGGCACTCCTTTTCAGAGCGCAAGTCATTTCACTGTCGGCTCTGCCAGCGTCAGACAGTGAGACAGACGTGAATCTCCATTGCCCGGTCAGGGCGCTGAGGTTTTACACTACGCGCTCCGCCTCTTTCAGGCGCACGGAGCAGCTGTTTGTTTCGTTTGGTGGGCGCGCCAAAGGTCTCGCTGCCTCGAAACAGACTCTGTCCAGATGGATAGTGGACGCTATAGCGGCCGCTTACGCGTCAAAAGGTCTGCAATGCCCTCTGGGCATCAGGGCTCATTCCACTAGAGGCATGGCCTCATCGTGGGCGTGGTCCAGCGGGATTTCTATCCACGACATATGTGTAGCGGCGGGCTGGAGCTCCCCGTCTACCTTTGTCAGGTTCTATAACCTAGAAGTTCCCGCCCTGCAGGCTAAACTTCTGTCAGTCTAAGCGAGTTGTGCGTTCTGCCCAGATATATCATGCTCAGACCACTCTCACGTGACTCAGCTCTCCTGGTTGAGCTGCACTAGTAGGGATGTGCTATATGCTTATAGGGAATACAGAGCAGAGCACTGGTCTGTATGTGTGCTTACGTACGAGTGATGGCCCGCGTGGCTGGCCACCTTATTTTTCCACTTATTGGGTTCCCCGAGAAACCTCGGCGACTCATGGGTGGTTGCTTGGCGCGCACGGCGTTGACAAAAAGTTCCCGTAGCGTAAGCTAAACTTACGCAATACGAGAGAACCTCTCGTAAGAGAACGTACTCGGTTACTGACGTAACCTCGGTTCTCTCTAGAGAGGGAACGAGTATTGTGTAACCGGCCGTGCTCGCACCACGAGCGACTTCGCTTCAGTCGACGAAAACCAGGGAATTCAGCCTACAGCCCCTTCTTTTATACGCTAAGCCACGCCCATTCTGGCGGGCTATGACGCTATGAAGGCGCGGGCGCCCTTCATTGGGCGTGACGTCACGCGGGGCTCACTGGTAGGCTGCAGCAGATGCCCGCAGGGCAGCCAATGAACACGCAAGACTGCCTGCTCTAGGTCTGCTAGCTGCTGCACTGCGTTGACAATGAATACAAAATTAAGGATAATTTTTTGGCTTCAATATCTCGAGAAGATGAATCTTTCCCGTAGCGTAAGCTAAACTTACGCAATACGAGAGAACCTCTCTAGAGAGAACCGAGGTTACGTTAGTAACCGAGTACGTTTCATGTCACAGTTACAAGCATTCGCTAAAGCCCCGTTCACACTACACGCGACTTTGTCGCTGATGAGGTCGCTAGTGGGCGTTCCCATTACTGGTTGACTAGTATGACATCCAAAAGACAGCGAATCAGCTTTCTTGCCGCTAAAAAACACAATTTCTGGAGGGAAAATACTAAATATATACTCCGTACATAAAAACGTCTGTAGTGAAGCATGAAGATGAACGAGACAAGAAGTCGATTTTTCTCGTTGCGGCCGTTTATCTACGGCATAAGCGCAAACGCCGGTCTATCTGGGTTCACGAGACCATTCGGGCTCGGAGACAGCACGGCGAGTACCACAGGCTGGTGCAGGAACTGCGGCTGGATGAAGTCCTGTTCCAGCAGTACTTCAGGGGCTGAGGAGAAGGATCACGTGCGCTCCACTCCTATTGGTTGTCGCTCGCGAAAATCGCTCTTCATTTGCATAAAGTTAAACATTTCTCAACTTTGTCGCGTCGCCAGACACGCCCCATCTAGTCGCCAACGGTCGCTGTCGCGCCGGAAGTCGCCCGCTCACCATTGAAATGAATGGTATCGCGTCGCTTGGTCGCGTGTAGTGTGAACGGGGCTTGAGTTATAGGTCATTTTCTGTCGCGTTTCAGAATGAACTTCACATTGAGAGAGACGGGAGAACGCGCATCATGATTATTTTCCTTTTTACGAAAAACACAACATTTTGTTTTTATTATGAGTGTACACAAATAAAAGACATTAACAGTTTTGAATGATGTGTAACACATAAGTGTAAGATGTAAGATCAAAATCAACAGAGTATTTTGAGTTTGTTTTGCACTGATAAGAAAAAAAGCGAGCAGATCACGCCGGCGTGATTGCCGACCCCAGAGGGTTAAAGGGATAGTTCACCCAAAAATAAAAATTAGCCTATGTTTTACTCACCCTCAAGTCATCCTAGGTGTATATGACATTCTTCTTTCAGACGAATACAATCGGAGTTATATTAAAAAAAGTCCTGGCTCTTGTGATGGCGGTGAATGACTTTTATCATGGATGGATGCACTTTGATGGACTTCAAAAAATATAAAGCCATTCACTGCCATTATAAAGCTTGGAAGAGCCAGGACATTTTTTGATATAACTCCGATTGTATTCGTCTGAAGAATGTCATATACAGCTAGGATGACTTGAGGGTAAGTAAATCATGGGCTAATTTACATTTTTGAGTGAACTATCCCTTTAAGATTTGCAGTGTAAATGCAGCCTTAGGGTGCTCGGGAGTGCCCGTGACAGACTTCTACCTGATAGTCGATGCAGAATTACATCTTAAAAATATGGACTCCAGAAGACATCTTTGGTTTAGGGTGCCTTTTGGGACAGGGCCAATGTTGTACCCTCTTCTGCATCTTGTTTTTCTGCTATCAGTAATGGCAGCAGCTGAAATGTGTGTTTGTGATTCACCTTGTACGGGCATGTCAGCTTTAAAAGTAACTTTCCCTCCCTAAGACTGTGTGTGTATACACTCACCGGCCACTTTATTAGGTACACCTGTCCAACTGCTCGTTAACACTTAATTTCTAAGCAGCCAATCACATGGCGGCAACTCAGTGCATTTAGGCATGTAGACATGGTCAAGACAATCTCCTGCAGTTCAAACCAAGCATCAGTATGGGAAAGGAAGTTGATTTGAGTGACTTTGAACGTGGCATGATTGTTGGTGCCAGAAGGGCTGGTCTGAGTATTTCAGAAACTACTAATCTACTGGGATTTTCACGCACAACCATCTCTAGGGTTTACAGAGAATGGTCCGAAAAAGAAAAAACATCCAGTGAGCGGCAGTTCTGTGGGCGGAAATGCCTTGTTGATGCCAGAGGTCAGAGGAGAATGGCCAGACTGGTTCGAGCTGATAGAAGGGCAACAGTGACTGAAATAACCACTCGTTACAACCGAGGTATGCAGCAAAGCATTTGTGAAGCCACAACACGCACAACCTTGAGGCGGATGGGCTACAACAGCAGAAGACTCCACCGGGTACCACTCATCTCCACTACAAATAGGAAAAAGAGGCTACAATTTGCAAGAGCTCACCAAAATTGAACAGTTGAAGACTGGAAAAATGTTGCCTGGTCTGATGAGTCTCGATTTCTGTTGAGACATTCAGATGTTAGAGTCAGAATTTGGCGTAAACAGAATGAGAACATGGAACCATCATGCCTTGTTACCACTGTGCAGGCTGGTGGTGGTAGTGTAATGGTGTGGGGGATGTTTTCCTGGCACACTTTAGGCCCCTTAGTGCCAATTGGGCATCGTTTAAATGCCACGGCCTACCTGAGCATTGTTTCTGACCATGTCCATCCCTTTATGGCCACCATGTACCCATCCTCTGATGGCTACTTCCACCATGTCACAAAGCTCTAATCATTTCAAATTGGTTTCTTGAACATGACAATGAGTTCACTGTACTAAAATGGCCTCCACAGTCACCAGATCTCAACCCAATAGAGCATCTTTGGGATGTGGTGGAACGGGAGATTCGCATCATGGATGTGCAGCCGACAAATCTGCGGCAACTGTGTGATGCCATCATGTCAATATGGACCAAACTCCCTGAGGAATGCTTCCAGCACCTTGTTGAATCTATGCCACGAAGAATTGAGGCAGTTCTGAAGGCAAAAGGGGGTCCAACCCGTTACTAGCATGGGGTACCTAATAAAGTGGCCGGTGAGTGTATATATATATATATATATATTCAAAACATGCAAATGATGAATTATACTCAAAACATGCAAATGGATGGATTGCATTATTCCTCCATTTAGAGGGATAATGTGAAATAATGATGACAATTAGTGTTTTGACATAATTTGAAAACATACTGTAATATTTGACCGTTATAATGATACAAGGCCTGGAGACCCGACTAACACTATGCGAACAGTACAAAAAAAATATACAGCAGATAATTTTTAGACTAAACCACCCACCACCAATCAATCACAACATATTTCTTTGAAGGTTTCTTTGGCTAAAAATGTATACATTTATGCTGCAAAATGTAATTCCAAACATAATTCCAAAGTGTGTATATGTAAATTACTTTAGTAAAAAACACAAATTTGTTTGTATGTGTACAGATATCAAGATTTTGAATGGAGACTTCAACCCTGAAGAGAATGCTGAGACAAAGAGGGAGAAATTTGGAGAGAATATCTTGTCTGTTGTGAAAAACAAGTAATAAAATCTTTTCAGATTTTCATTAAGTCCTAAATTATTTGCTTCTAGCAGTCTGACAAAAAAATCTTTTTGTAGTGCGACTAATTCTACGGTGGAGTCTGTCTGAAGATGTTGTTCGTTCACTGAAGAGCCACCAGTTGCCAAGTGGAAGATCATGTCCATATCGCAAGCACCCTACAGATCATTATTTTACTTTATTTTTTGCACACTCTGTAAAGACAAAGATGCTTTCCCAGATGGCAGTTATTCTGTTATAACTGTTTTCAGCTAAATGCAATTTATTCCAGAGAGCTCTGTTAGAAGTACTGTTAACCAATACAACTATACGCCATTAAGTGTGTAACAATTTTTTTTTTTTTTACAGTATCAAAAGTGCCATTTTATAATAGCAGATACATTAGCTTCAAAATATATTTGTGATATTTACCATACCTACTTGGTGTATGTTTTACATTTAAGTTTCACTGTAGCTTTGTTCCGCTGTTGCATCTCTAAAATTATTTATTTTAATACAGGAAAATTAAGTATTCATACATTTAGACTGCTGTCATAAAAAAACTGTTTTAGTCTTAATAAAGTAGTTTACTTCAGAAACTTTTCTTTTAACCTGGTACTGTTTGGTCATTAGCGACCAAAAAAATCTGTTTTTCATAAACTTGGTAAATTTTGTGGCATTTGCTATCTGAATGTATCGGTGATTTTTACACACTATGCACCTCAGGTCCATGCTCTGTGACCCCACTCTGTGTTTTTACGTGGTCTTCTGCTTCGTTTCTGCTATTCCTAAACGCTTACAGTTTCAAATAATACCACTTAAAGTTGACCGTGGCATATCTAGCAGGGATGAAATTTCACAAACATACTTGTTGCAAGGAGGGCATCCTATCACATTACCACGCTCAACACATTACCATGCCCTCTGACTGGGGATGTCTCTTTTGCAGAGACCACTTGAAAATATCAAGGGTACAAAATAACTAGAAGGACTTCCATCCCCTCCTTTGTGGGCACAAGTGCTGCATTCAATGATCACTACAGAGGCCGCTTCAAATTTTGTTAATTAGCATATTAACTTGATTCCATTTGATTATTCACTGGTCTCACAGCAGTTCTGATTATTCTATGTAAAAGTAACATTCTGAATCTGCTTTTAATTTTTAAATTAACCAGTCCAGCCCTACTGTACATCTTTTTTTATGGTTTGTACTTTTTATGATTTTCTTATTTGCAAAAAATATATATCAACAATCCTCAAAATCAAAAACATACATGAAACAAAACAGTTAATCGTAAATAGTAACACTTTAAATAATAAGTAAATAAATAAATAGAATAGTATGAAAGTAAAAAAAAAAAAAGAAGTGGACAGGAGTTCCCACTATAAGCTAAATCATATTTACCATGACCATTGTTTTTTTATTTTTGTCTCACCACATGCTTGTTATTACTGTGGGTTACAGGAATGCAATTTTTTTCCCCATTTATCGAAATAGGTCTTCCAGAAGATTTCCAGCTTTTACAATTACACGTCTGCCCAGCATGATGCATTTCTGTATCCACTGTGACTCAGTTTTTTTTAACATGATTTAAAAGCAGGGGGTTACCAAGAATGTAAACACTAGGAAAGAACTCATACTGGGTCTATATCTCTAAAATATAATCATGCACCTCTTTCCAGAAAATACTGGACTAATGCACATTGCCAGAAAATACTGGACTAATGCATATTGCCATAAGACATGAAATAGGTTGTCCTCCTCTCTCTGGCATCGCCAACATTCAGGATCATCTTAAAACCTGCTCTAAACAGCCTTGTGTGTCCAGGAGAATCTGTACATTTTTTAATTGTATACGTGTTCTAATATCTCTAGACCAGTGGCGGATGCAGAAAAAAAACTGATGGTCTGGTCACTGCGTGGCACTATAAATGCACATGGCTTAAAGGTGAAGTATGTAAGATTAAATAGGTAATGAACACGTCAAAACAAACGGGGCATTGCAATGCGTTACAATGAATGCTTCAATACATAATGCACTCGTTCAGAAAGACAAATGTTCCAGTTTATAAAGTTTCATTTGATGTGTCCAGTGTGAACAGCCTCAAATAGTTGTGGCACATCATGTCAAAAAATGCTCCTGGTGCAGATATGTTGGATGGATTTATTATAGCGAGAGACTCGCATTCACTCTAGACTAGTGTTTTCCAACAGTGTGCCGTGACAGGTTGTCATGTGTGCCATGGAAAATGATCAAATGCCCACAAATATTTATTAAAATAAAATAAATGCTAGAAATAGTCTACATTTAGTGGTTGTCAGGCGGAAACCTCTATATTCCGTCATTTTTATTTTATTTTTTAAAATCAATGCTATTCATTATTCATCGACTTATGCTGGTCATCCTTTACGCCTGTATGTGAATAAAATGTAAATATTATAATGACACATACATGTCTGACCATATATAAAGCCACAATACCAACTTTGATAACACAGTGTTTAATTATTTAAAAAACACGAGGTTTACATGGGACAGCAAGGATTTTTTGTTTTTATCATCACCAATGTAAGGCCCGCCCAATCTGTCCGACAGTTTCCGATAAGCGTGTGAAAGTTCACTGCGTGTCTTTTCAGCGTGGCAAAGTAGTTTAATTCCAATTAAACTTTTATCAAAATCTGATTTATATGATAATTTATCTAGACATCTGACTATTTAACTCTTTACTGTTGTACTACTTGTTCATTCGGGTGCCAAAGTCGCACAGGGTCCTCGTGCCAGCCGTTCATTTTTATGCAGGCCCACGATCACAAACTCGCCAGTCTGATCGATAACCAGAGGTTATGGCTAAAGAAATGTTACAATGCTTGCTATTGTTAAAAGGTACCCATTTAGCCCACAATCGCCTATATAACAACTTAGTTAAAGCTCAAACAAAATTCAGAGCTTCAGAACCAGTACTATGAGGTAATGTTGCCCCATGCTTACTAGAACCCTAATAGTATTTGGCTCTAGCCAGTGGTTAAATTGGCTTTTATAGGGAGGGGGAGCCCTTTACGGTTAATGGTCATCATTCAAAATCGCGCCGTAAAATGACTTAATGTGTTTTTACACCAAAGAGGCTCTTTTTCCAGTATTAATGTGTAAGGTAGGGTTGAGTATATATTTAAACAAAGAGAAATACTTTACAATTCACCTTTTTTTTTTACCTTTAATGTTAACAGACAGCAACGGACTTCACCCTCGGGAAATGTATGAAATTGAACATGTTTGAAAATATTGGTTGGCAAATATCTTTTAAAACAAGAAAAAATTTTGATTTAAAAGAATCAGGGCCAATTACTTTGGCAGTTTGTTGTTTGATTTAAAATTTTGGTTTTCCTGATCTCAACATGTCCATTTTAAGGCGTTTTGAAGGCCAAAAAAAAAAAAGGACAACAGTAGCTTTAAAAGCATGTCAGTGGTCAGCATGAAGTAGGCCTATTTGATCAGATAACAGATTCTTTAACATGAGAATTAGAATTCTTTAACATGAGTTTAAATGTTGCAATGATTGATCCACACTATAAAATGGAAATGCAGAATGTTTATGCATATTGTTGACAATACACAATCACATATTCGAAACGGGAATGTCCTTAAATAAGAAATGATTCAAGGATTATTTTGTAGATGTTACATTTCAAACAAACGCCAATGCAATCATTCTGTGCCCAGAGGCATATGAGCAATTAGTATGAGCATCAGAGATCAGTTTCAGCTACTTTTTCTTTCCTAAATTAATCAATATTTTTGGACTAGCTAATCTGTTCATTTAATCAATGGTTCAATTCTTCACTCATAAAGACAGTCACTTGTCGCCGCCTTCTGGCTTAATGATGCAAGTTGCGCAAACACGAACAAGCGGAGTGACACAAACAGTGAAAAGTCGAACACATTCGAGGTAACGTTATACAAATATATTACAATAATAATGGCAATATATTTAATAGGGTGCTTGTGTTGTTAAATTGAGCTTATAGTATCCACTGTCTTTGATCAAACTGAGTATTTCTGTCGATCATTTAAAACTTCTATCGACAAACAGCTGTTTAGATTAGCTACTTGCATCTTATCTCGCACGGTATGCCCGTTAACTGAAGCGTGAAGCGTCGCGTTGGGATTCGCGCTCGGCTTGCGCTTCTGTGAACATAAATCCCACTTGCTTTGATTGGACTCAAACATTTTGACATTGACGAGCGGGTGAGTGCTGAAGCAGCTCAGACGAGAAGGTCAGTTATCGTTGCGATGGGCGAATCATTGCAGCACCAAATTCGAGTTAATATTAGCCAATTATTTCATAACTTTCATTATATACACTCAACAAATTTTATATATTTGGTGCTGAAGGACACGGAGCTGAGCTCCGGCAGGGTGTGTTGTGGACCCGAGGAGGCGGAGCCGGTGCGCTCCGCCCCAATTTAACCTATGGCTCTAGCCCCCTATAGTTAATAATATAACTATATAACAACTTAATTAAACCAGAGGTTATGGCCAGTACTACGAGAAATGTCGCCCCATGCTTACTATTACATTGTTAGTATTTTTATCTAGCCCCTTATAGAGAATGCAACTGCATAACAACGTAAAGTCAAGCAGTTAGTCAGGAATCTAGAATCTTGCCAGATGTATCCCATGCCCCATACAACCCAAGATCTAACCCTGGACGCAGCTTTGCTGTAACAAATGGATACAACGTAGAGTTAATAATTTCAAAGTAAGCCAGAATAAAATCAAATGAATCACCCTTCCTCATAAAGATCTTCCAGATATTTTTATCTACCTATTCCTTCCATAACATAGGTCAAAGTATTAAAATCCCCATGTGGTGAAAATCAAGCTTTTAATGTTGTTTAAATGTCTATGTGGGGTTTTTAATATGCTTTAGTTTAGACAAACCGTGTGCAAATTCATAAGTCAGCACCATTGCTGAGTATTTTCTCCTTAATACTGCAGTGAACCATGACAATTTCAAAATCGCTGTTTGAAATCGCTAGTGTTTTTGACGTCACAAACTACCTTGTAACCAATCACGTCAACGTGTGATCATCAAGGAGTGGATCTCTGAGCTGGGTGCATTCTTCCTACGTCGCTAACTCAGTTAGCTGGATTTGATTGTTGACGATTTGGCATGATCTTGGATTGTTTGGTTCTTCAACGCTCATCCTGTACTTGCTGTCATAGCAATAGGTACTGTGTTCTATTATTTTGTAATTTAAAAGTTTTTCTGGTATGTCTTGAGTTTTTGGGGTTACCATTTTGCTGAAGAGTAGAGCCTGTGGTTCGGTTGGCGATTGGC